TTTTTTTTTTTTTTTTTTTTTTGTCCTGGGCCATGGGCCGGCCCGGCAGATAGGACTCTCTTGGCACCCCCCTGGCCTGCGCCTCCCCTACTCGGGCCTCCTCTCTCCCCTCTCTGCGACTAGTGCAAAGGGTCGATCGGGCGCCCCCAATCAGCCAGTCCCCTGCGGTAGAACGCAGAGGGTTAGCTCAAGCCACCTTCTCTTCATCTCAGTCGCGAGACTCTTCCGACTGCCTGGAGGTGAAGGCCGATGCTGAGCCTGAGATGAGGAGGGAGTGGACGGTGGGACTAGAAACCCGGTACAAGACTCTAGGTTCAGAGCAGAGAAACAGAGGGAGGCTAATCCCTCGATTTCCATTTCATTTACGGCCCCTCTACAAACAGCCAGACTCCCACTTAGGCGCTTGGGTTAAAAAGTGAGCTGAAGTGGAGCAGATATCTGGATTAAGGGTATTCTGATTTTGGAAACAGAGGTGGAGAGAAAATTTGGGGTACTCCGGGGCAGAGGGGGTGGGGTGGGGACTGACTTGATCCTAAAGATTCAATTCGCTGTCATTGAAAGAAATCAGAGCGACCCCGTGCACCTTCTCTGTGACCTGTCTCCCACTCTACCCACCCCCTTCTCTGCCCCCTCCTCCCCCGTCCCGGCAATGTTTCTCTCCTCTAGACCCTCCTCTCTTCTCGCCTCTTTCTGGCTAACTCGGACACTCCCTCTTGCCTTTCCCTTGGGTGTGTGGCGCCTGTCGGTGGTGTGTAAAAGTCGGCCTAGGGAGGGTTAGTCCGAGGGGAGCTGCAAGCCCCTATGCTCTTCTTTCCCAACCAGGTCGGCTTCCCTCCCACTCCCTGGTCCCCGGAAACCTCACCATGCTGGACGGACTAAAGATGGAAGAGAACTTTCAGAGCGCGATCGAGACTTCGGCCTCCTTTTCCTCGTTGCTGGGTAAGTGGAGACTGGGGGTCTCCCGCGATTCCCCAGTTCCCCCCTCTCGAAGTCTCGGCTCTGATCCTCTACGCGGACTGAGGGCCGAGTCTGGGCAGACTCTGAAGAGAGAACTGTCTCGGATTCCTTTGGAGTTCTCTCTAGGATTCCTTTGGAAAGTAAGAGGATTCGGCCTCTCACACTTACTTAGAGATAGATACAGTGCCTTCCAGAACAACACACAGCAACTCAACTCTCTTGATATTCCTTTCCTACCCAAACCAAACCCAGAAACTACGCCAGCCTCTCCAACCCTGCGCACAGAGCGCGGAATTCCCCAATCCCGGGAGGAGCCTGGGAACAGGGGCAGCTTCTTCCAGAAGTGGCAAGCGATTAAAAAAAAAAAAAACAACACCCTCTTTTTAATCACTTGGCAGATCGATGTCTTCTAAGGACTCCCCTTTTTCTTCTGACTCTGCCTCCCCTCAAGTTTTCCCCATCTTGGGCAGGGGGAGAAGGAGGGAGGGTGGGGATCTCCACGCCTTCTCCTCTGCCCTTGGTCAGGTAGGGTCAGGCTCAGGCACCGCTCAAGTTCGAGGCTATTTCTTTGGTGGCTTTTCTGCCACCCCAGGCTTGGAAGCCCGAGGCCGCGGGGAAGTGGGGGAGGCTGCGGAACACTTCCTGGGGTTCCTTTAAGTGAAGAGAGCCAAACGAAATCACGCCTAAAACTTATGGGGAAGACATTGCGCTACAGAGCCTTTTACTTTTGGGATATGAAGCTGGGAGCCTCGGGTTACCTCTGCTGAGGTCTTCCAGGCCTTAATGAACTGACACAACCTGGACTCGGCTCTTCCCTTCTCCCCACGGACCTTCCTGTGTCGGCTGCAGCTCGAGCCTGGGAACTCTGGAATTGGGGATCCCGAGAAAAAGGTTGTTTGAGTTTCCTCAGAGCCGCCACCGAGCTGGATCCGAAGTGGTGACTGCGTGTTCCCCTTCTCTCAGCTGGGCAGGGGAAAGGGCGGGAGTAGATTACATTATTATTCTTGTTATTATTAAGATAATTTCGCTTTTTTTAAAAACCTTAACACCACTCTATAGGTTCTAGCAGAGAAGGAATAAGAAGGAGAGACAAGTTTGGCTGGATAAACCAATTTAAGGGAAGAATGTGACCCCCTTGGACATCTTTCCTTACTCTGTCCATTCTCCCCCAACTTCCCCCAACTTAGTCAGCAACCAAATAATGGACAAATTAAATCCTGGCCCAGGTAGGAACATCCTCTGGAGCTCCGGGCAGCCCAGGTACTCGGCAACTTCACTTTGAACTGGAACAGAATTCACAACTTTGCCTTTCTTTCCACCACCCAGGGGATTTCTCTCTCTCTCTCTCT